ACAGAATGTTCAAGTTCAGTTGCGTTGCCTTTTCCAAACCAGCAGCAACAACAACAAAAACAGCTTATTCAAACTGGTGTTTGTCAGCAATATTTCTCTCACAAAAGCATGGTGTGCACAACCGGAAATTGCTGTCATAGTTCGAAGTTCAAGTTGCATTCCTGACATCCGCTGAAACATTTTAAACCGTCGCATTTGGTGGTAGCGCATGACGTTGGTTGTCATGTGAGGTCATTGTGGGTGACAATTTGCTCTTGTTGCCTTTCATCCAGGTTGGCAGAGCCCTCAAACATCAAAACAAGCGCACGTTGCCAGATTCTTAGCAGAAAAATCCAAAAAATAACAACACACAGTACAATTCATTCTGGCTTGAAATGGCTACAAGCAGGACCTAGGCTCTGCTACAATGCGATCTTTGCCGACATCGGAGGATTCATTCCACCAGGTCCCATCCTCAGCAGTCACGTGCTTTGATCGACATAGACATTTTGGTTTGTGCAAAAAAATATATATATATATATAGTTATATATATATAAGTAAGGACAGCCCAGCCACCTTCAAAACACAAATGATGAACTCTTAGTACAGTAGTCACTCGCCGGGGCGCGGATGTGCCGCAGAAGCTGCGAGGGACCCCTGCACCCTCACAGGGTGAATCCGTGTACAACATCTGAATTCTTGTTTCTGGGTGTGTCTTGCACAAATATCTCAGGTTCCTTCACCGAGGAAATCATGAATCATGCTACCCTGGCACAAGACACGACAAGCCAGGCCTCCGAATACGGCTCATCAGCAGAGCAGATGCATTGAGTCCACGCAACGGGCCCTCTCCAATGACCTGCACCCAAGCCATGGGTGTCTTCTGCACGCGACTGCATGCCCACATGCGACACATATTGCATATTGCAACCTAATGCACACACGCACATCTATAATTACACTGGTTTTTTTCCATCGCTCCTTTTCTGGTTTGTCGAGCTAGGCCTTTTTGGCCTTGAAACATGCCGGCAGGGTGTTCTTCTCCCATCCTTCTCCCTTTGGGATGGCCCTGCCATGACATTGGCTGCAGCTGACCGTCCTTGCCCGTCTCCACATGGCATGGGTTGGGTGCCCTTGCCAAGCCGGGGTGGGATCCAGGCTTCATTCCAGCACTTCTGCTCCACCATGGCCTTCAGCTTGTCAGTGGCCGAGTTTTTTAGCATGCATGCGCCGCATGCTTGACAGACCAGGCACTGGTTCTGAAACACAAAGGTGTGGCTTCCCATCCCTTGGTAGGTGCCCTCCAGGATCTGGGTGATGAAGTCCTTCTTTGAAGGCGATGCGGAGTTGGTTTCTCCGCCAACCAAGCTTGTGGGATTGCCTGGGCATCTCTCAGCCTTGTAGGCCTGAAGTTCCGCCAGCTTGTTGTGCATGGTGGCCCTTTTGAGGCATAGCCCGCATTGCTTTGCTCTGCCCTTCACTTGCCAATGATGTTGGCCCTATAAAGAGCAGGGCTGGGAGAAAAAGAGGAGAGCACTCATTCTTGAATGGTTGTAGATTTCGTGGAGATGGTATTCTATCTGGCAAATCTTCTGACATTATGTCTGGCAATCTTTCTAGCATATCTTCTGACATTTTGTCGGGCACATCTTCGGACATTCTTTCTGGCATATCTCGCGACATTCTATCTGGCACATCTTTTGACATTCTATCTAGCAATGTGTGTGGCTGAATGCACTGACGGAAATGGTCTTGGTGAAGGCGCAAGGAACTGCAAAGGACCTGCAGGTAGTTAACGTGAGCCAACATGAAAAAAAAAAAAAAGCGATGCCCGAAATATCTTTTTCGCTGTTGTCGGCCATATTTGGACTGTTGCAGGGGGGTGGAGAAGACATGTGAGGCTCCATCCAACGAAGCTCCTCACATGATCCTAGGATATCATCAGGGACGCTTGGTGACGTACCTGCACCGGAAACTGTGGACCACGCTTTTTCACTTTCGATTTGATTCATAGTGGTTCTTCACGATGCCGTCCCACAAACTGGTTTCCCTCCGCATTGCAGCAGCTGACCGCCGCCAGTTCGTTTGAGCGTTTTTTGCAACATTTGTTCAACATTCTGTTGATCGCGGACTTTGCCACCATTCCGTTAAATAATTCCTTTTCTCGAGGAACTGAGCTAACTGCAAACCCATTCTCTAAGTGTGTGTCATTATACAGTATGTGTATCTTGTACAAATCAGTGTTTTTCTGAATTCCTATCTGATTCTCGCTTCGGCCTGACGTTGTGCATCGATCGGCAAGGCTCGCAGCGCACCTTCGGCTGAGGCCTGCATCAGCGGAAGGAATGGCAACCGGTCATTTCCAGGTACATCACCCGGTCCCTCTCCAGGAAGGGAGGGGGGTGGTTTCATACATGTCTGCTAATGTGTGCGGATGGAGTGGACAGGTGTCGGAAAGGCATTTTCGAACAGTAACATATCATGAAACTTACAACTTCCAAGTAAGAGACAACCACTTCCCCTGGAATGAAATCTGGAGACCGGGAAATGCGTATAGGGTACGCCCCCCCCTGAATGTACATTTATGTTGCCCGGTGATCCAGGTACAGTAATCCCATCCTCCTATTAATAAACACGGCCCCCCCCCCTATTAAAAAAACCTCGGTCGCATTTTTTCTAATAGGGGGTCCCTGAAATCGGGGGGGGGCAAAATAGGGTCACCTGGAAAGAGTTTCAAAACCAAAAAGTAATCCAGGAAAATTTTATATAAAATCCTTTATTAAACTCATATCAAAAATGCAAAAAACCGCCAGATCGAAGGGTCTTCCTTTTCCCCTACAAAAACCTTCATTAGAATAGTGATTCTTCAGTAGACTAACAGGTAAAGCTTTCGAAAGGTGATGTCGCTGTGCCATGCGGTGTTGCATGACCTCGGTGGCAAGTGCGTTTGCGTGAGTCCGTGCCATTGAGGGAAGGAAAGCCTGCTGGTGTAAGCGCGGCGTGTCATGGTGGAGTTTTGGGGAACCTAATAAAAAAACTACCCCCAAAATCGACCATGTTGGTAGTTTAGTAGCGGTTTGAAAGGGCGGCAATTTAAAACCAAATATAAACCGAATTTAGGGGTTCGGACGTGGTGTTTTTTAAATTGGGGAGGGTTTATTAATAGGAACTCGGGATTAGTTGATGTCTCAGGTGCTCCCGGTTTCTGAGGAAGTGGCATCCACTCCATACTGCATGATGAAGGCAGTCACCACATCCCTCACGCGGTAAGACCAATCGGAAACAAAGGTATCTACCAATGGCACTCAGGCTCCCGCCCAGAGGCATGAGCGGCTTGAACCGCAGCAGTGTTGCCCAGGGAGAGGTTCCTGGTCCGACCTCGACTAAACCAAATAATAAATGATCACTTTGCTCAGTGATCCATGGACCAAAAATGTGCTTCCTTTCTTTGGTCCAGGCTCATCTGCTCAGCCTGATGATTACTGTATATATGTAATCTGTCCATCTGTTTGGCTGTACATATAGTGGCTGAAAGTGTTCAAACATGTGAGGATGGCAAACGAACAAGAAAAAGAGGCCTTGTGTATCCTCGCCATGAGAACAGCCGAACTGTTCACACCCAGAATGGGCCTGCGGAACGTGCGATTCATTGATCACTCTCCGATCCATCACATGCAACGCGAGCATCGAGACTTGGTACATATGACTCGGAATGTCTCGACAGGCCCCTGGGCCATGATCTCTGCGGCCAAGTGAACCTGAGCCAAAAGGCCAGCATGCCGTCAGCCACAAGAAATCGTGCATGGGCGCTTACTCCATGTTACTCCTTTGCCTACTCTCCCATGGGCTGATCTGAGAGGTCCAACCGGCAGCCCCCGAAGGCTGATCTCGGCACGTTGGTCAACACCTCATGCACAATGAGATTTGCACGCTTCTAAATGCTGAAGTACCCAAAGAGAACATTGCACCCACAAGTGCTGGAAGCAGACGAGACCGAGCAAGAAAATGTGTGTCAGCAGCCCCAGCTGCATGACGTCCAAAAACGGGAGAAGAAAGCATCATTGCAGGCAATGCCAGCTAGGTCCAGCGCCACTGGCTCTGCAAAACAAAGAGATCCTCAGCGCACAGTGTGCCATCTCTATTCGGGGCGAATTTCGGCGCAAATGTGCTAACTCCCACGGAGTCCAAGCGTTAAAAGGTTGACTTTGATGGTCTTCGGGTGTGTGTGCAGTGTTCTGTGAGCGCGCGGCTGGTCATTCTGCCCTGGAGCACCTTGTCCTGCAGCTCGCCCTCCAAAGTTACCCAGCCTAACTAGTTGAGTCTGGCGGCCCTTTGAGACCGTCTAACCAGTTTTGAAGAGACCTTCTAACTGACCCCTTCTGCAGTGCACACGTCCAGTCATTACTATTCCCCATGCATCGGCCACTCCACTTGTGCAAAGCTCTCAACGGGAAAACCATAGAAATGAAACTTAGTAGCTGGCGCCAGGACCATTGATGGCTCGCCTTTGATTGCAATCTCAGGTGCCTTGGCTGCATGATTGACTGATTTGCTGTGGCCAGAGTGTGACATTAAAGTAAGTGTGCTAGAATTCACAAGCGGGCCCCCTCACAGGAGCATGGGCCCGCTCTGCGAGAGCAGCTTGCTCCTGGCAAGTTGTCGCACTGGAGGAATCTGGCCAGCACAATACCTCTCACCCTTGTATATAGGATTGGCCACAACACTCCATTTTCCCTTCAAGAATCGACAACCATAGGCGTCAACGGCGCCGGCCACATCAACGCATTTTTGCGTGATGGGAAAGCACTAGTTAATTTAGACAGCCAATTTGGGCTGCCCGCTGCCCTCTCGACGGGCTTCGTGCCAGCTGCCAAGCGAAAACAGCAATAGTCTAAAGAAAAATGCCAGACGTAGTACAAATCCTCTTAGAGGAGCTTGAAAAACGTCCAATCTATGCCAAATGTCGCCGCAACTTGCCTCCTGTATACGACGTGTATAATCATCCCATGAAGTTGCTGCATCAAGCCTCCTCAAGCGATTTGTGTGTGCACTGGTCAGTTCGTTTTGGGGATATTCATGTATGTGCGCTTAAAGTGCTCCAGCTCTCTTGTGCTTTCTTGAATGTATTGCACTAGCCACTGTGCCTATAGTGGTAGCCTTGCTTTAGTAAAATCTCTCCGTCTGCTAGTGTGTGCCAAGCTTATCCATTTTGCCTGGGTGAGTGACTCAGCACTGAATGCGCCTTCTTGCCTGCATTGGGTGCTTGAACTGGTTTGATGTGTTCCTAGTCACTAGTGCTCAGTATACGACTCACCGTCCCCCTCGAATTGTCATATGTGAATAGGTGGAGACGGTTTCTTCTAGGTCAATGTTGCCCCACTCCTCGGCAAAGGTGGGCACTCTTTGACAGCGAATGACATCCCTGCTTCCACTCCAAGGTCGGAAAGTGGCGTCTTGGCGTGGCACTGCTGTGTAAAGGAAGCTGGAGAGCACCTGGCAAGCGAGCGAGGACCACAAGCACATCAGCCACCAAGTCAGACTAGAAATGGCGTCCTGTCCAAAAAGGCAAAACCTCCTAACACATCCAAAATGTCCAAAAACATCCAAAACTTACGTCTTCACCCCAGCTATGCATGAAAACAAAAATGAAAACAGCTGCCTTGCGGACTCCTTCCAAGTCGGCCACCATGCACTTCAGCTTGTGCCACCGCTCCAGTTTTGCCATGCGAGCCGCTTCACACTGCTCAAGGCACTTCACAAAGTAATCCCTGAGACACAAACATCATCTGGATAGGTGGGGATCAACCAGGATGGAGTAGAATGAAGTAGGTGGATGGTGCTGAGCTGCTGATTGGGGATTGCGGGGTTTACTAAATCGTTGCCAAAAGCTCAGAAGCCATATCTCAGCAAACGGGTCCGGTGCATGCCCCCCGCAGACGGTCAGACATTGGGCGCCTATCACGGATGGAGAGCAAAGGCTGTGCTCGCACCAAGTGAACTCCAAAAAGCTGAGCGCTGCTGAACCTTCGAGGCCAAAGATGTGCATCGATAGGATCCTCAGTGCAGCTGGACTCTGCTTCTAGGATTGAAGTGTTTGTCCACACCTGAGAAGCTGCAAAACGAAAGCCAGCGCTTCCCTTTCTCGACAACTGCGCGTCGAAGCAATCAAATGAGCTCGCGCAGCCGCTTGCGGCCGCGTGTCAAATCTGCTTCACGTCTTGTTCTGCCCACACATAGGTAACCATGCAAAAGCAAAAAATGCACTCTTGCATCACCACCCGCTCCAAAATCACTAAAGCATCACCTCCAAGAGTTTACGTATACCTTTCTCGGGCCACTCCAAGAGTTTACGTATACCTTTCTCGGGCCACCCCCCCCGACCCCCGACCGACTTCACACATAGATAATTCCCATCCACATTCAGATGAAGCAAAAGCCAAACAATGCACCAAAATTCGAGGTGGCCTGGGACTAGAGGCTCGCTGCCCGAAACTATATGTTCAGGCCACCTCAAAAATGAAGATATGCGAAGCAAAGGTCCTGAGGTGTCTCTGTGACAAGGCTTTTGTTAAAACAGACAGTTTTTCAAGCTAAATTCAAGGTGGCCTCAGACCAGGGTTTGCTGCCCTAAAACACTCTGTTCAGGCCACCTTAAAAATGAAGGTCTGCGAAGCGAGAGCAGAGGATGCACATTGTCCTTCTGCTGCTTGAATGTGGCCTTTTGTTTACTTAAAAGTTCAAGACCTCCCAGCTGTTTCCACCTCTTCGCTTCCCAGTCTTCCCAGGGTTCATCTAGGGAGCCAGGCCATCTTCAGAATCTTCTGGATTTGAGCTGTTTGAGTTCCTATTGAAGGGTATAGTTGGCGAGTGCGTCACCACCCGCTCCAAAAGCATCAAAGCATCACCCCCCAGAGTTTACGTATATCTTTCTCGTGCCACACATGCACAGCAAACCACAGCTTTGAAGTCTCATTCGTGCTTTGAACTTGTATAGGTGTGTAAGAGGTATAGCAACATAGCATTTGTACGGACCCAGGGTAGCTACAATTCTGTTCCCAGGCATCGCGCGCATGAGGCTTCAAAGCTGTGGTTTTCAAGCTAAATTCAAGGTGGCCTGAGCCAGGCCATTTTCAGAATCTTCTGGATTTGAGCTGTTCGAGTTCCTAGTGAAGGGTATAGTTGGCGAGTGCGTCACCACCCGCTCCAAAAGCATCAAAGCATCACCGCCCAGAGTTTACGTATATCTTTCTCGAGCCACACATGCACAGCAAACCACAGCTATGAAGTCTCATTCGTGCTTTGAACTGGTATAGGTGTGTAAGAGGTATAGCAACATAGCATTCATACGGACCCACGGTAGCTACAATTCTGTTCCCAGGTATCGTGCGGATGAGGCTTCAAAGCTGTGGATTGCTGTGCGTGTGTAGAGGTTATCGAGCGGTTGACGGAAAGGGAACTTGAAGTACTATACCTGGTAGCTGCACTATAGCTACCCTGGGTCTCTATACCTGGCAAGGTGCCAACTACACCTTTCCATTCAGATGATGCAAATGATGCAAATTGCATTTCTTGCATCACCACCCCTCAAAAATCACCTCCAACACAACCTCAAAAAACCTTCCCTCGACGCACCCTCCTCCCCCAGCATGTGCCGAGTTTACGTGTACCTTTTGCGGGCCACCCCCCCCAGACCCCCTAACTACTCACTTCGTTCGCCAAACACAACTCCGTTGGCGCCTTCTACGAAGGCTGGCTTTCGTAAAATTCAAGGGTTCTTGAGAAGTTTAAAGGTGTACTTACAGCGGTACTTGCTACATAGATCTATATTTCTTTAACTCCGCTGCATGTTTGCAACAAATCCTTCGGGACAGCTCGGACCTTCCCCAGCTGTTCTGTCAAGCATCCACAATATGCGGATCATCAGGGCCGATGTGATCATCGAAAAATATGCAATGCTCGCCAGGATCCATCCTGCCGAGAAAGACAGGCTTGCCACCGCGTGAGGTTGAGCCAACTGCAGCCCAGCCTGACAACAACATCTGAGTCTGAATTTGTGGGTTTCAGGCTGTTTCAGGTATAAAATGTGGACACGCGTTTGCATAGATTCGCTGGAGCTATCAAGGTTGAGCAAATCACACAAGAAGAGATGAATTGAAAATGGGTGAAAAATGATAGAAAAGGATGGAAAAAGACTCGATTGTTGACTGGGTGGAACACGAATGCAGATCTGAACACGAATGCACCATCATCCGCCTGGGTAGAAGTCTCGCAGCGCGATGGTACGTTTCTGGGACGAGAGCCTAGTGTAATGCTTGAAGACTTGGTGCACACCTGCGCGGGAAAGCTCATTTTCGGATGTGGTGTCGGTGGATGTTGGTGGCCATACACAATGATACACATGCCAAGCGGTGGATGCCACCAGTGTGCTTTCCATCATGCCAACATCTCCCCCACCTTCGTGAGTGACAACTTTTTCTTTGTCATCCCAAAACTCAACCCCCTTCTCAATGGAATCCGGCTGCTCGATGCTGCCCATGACAAGAGCCTAATTGCACAGGACAACGGTGGAACACTTGGTACAAAAATACGCGGCCGGCCATTTAAGGAGGACAAAAGCAGTTGGTCCTTGAGCCCACAGCACCAGCACAGCCACGTCAGCAAGAGCTGCAGCATAGGAGCCATATGATCATCGGCAGTTGGATTGCGGAAGAAAGTCCCGCACGAATCCACAGAGCCAAACTGCATCCGATAATCTGGCAGGCCATCCTCAGTGAAGTGGAATTCTGTTCTGCCCACCACGTGTAGTCCAACCCCTCATCCAAAATCGCCGGAAACTGTTTCAAACCAAACCCATCTCAATGAATGGCAGAGACTGCCAAACGACCCGCTGAACATCTCTAGATCTTCAAGATTCTTTCACACTTCAGCCTAGGCTCAGAGCCGTCCAAAACCACAATGTCCTCCTTGCGAAACAGCGGGTGCCAGCCTTGACACAAAGCCTCGATCTCCTGGCTGGCGGAACTATACAGTAACTCGAAACCAGAAGCGCGGACCCCCTGATGCAGCATAATCCAAAGCTGTGACAAAGCCCCTCCTTCTGCAGTTTCGGCAGGTCATTTCCAAAAGTCCGGAAAATGAGAGTAAAGCTTCGACCCTGTCGTTTCAGCTCTCCTTGGTTCTGCACACTAATGCATTGATCGGATTAATAAACCGCCCCCCCCCACATGGTCGGTCAACAAGGTCTGAGATACCACTCATGAGGTCCACCCCCCTGAATTATCGGCTCAGGGAGCCATCGTAGTCGCAGTCGTCGTCGGTACTAGGTACTAGGTACTAGGTACTAGGTACTAGGTACTAGGTAGTAGGTAGTAGGTAGTAGGTAGTAGGTAGTAGGTAGTAGGTAGGTAGTAGGTAGTAGGTAGTAGGTAGTAGGTAGTAGGTAGTAGGTAGCAGGTAGTAGTAGGTAGTAGGTAGTAGTAGTCACAACAAGTTCAAACAAGCACAAAGAAAAGGCCAGATTATTGATGGGGGATCGGCCCTTGTGAGGGGTACCCTTTGTGAGCTTGTCAAATGATTGTTTTTAATTGTTTTTTAATAAGGCAATTTATAGGCCCTGAGCCCTAGACATGTTTAAGGATTTCATCAAACATGTAGTAGGTAGTAGGTGGTGATGGTGGTGGTGGTGGTGGTCGTGGTAGTAGCACGTAGCAGTAGCAGTAGCAGTAGCAGTAGCAGAGCAGGAGCAGCAGCAGCAGCAGCAATAGCTAGTAGCTAGTAGCTAGTAGCTAGTAGCTAGTAGCAGTAGCAGCAGCAGCAGCAGGAGGAGTAGTAGTAGTAGTAGTAGGAGTAGCAGTAGCAGTAGCAGTAGGAGTAGTAGTAGTAGTAGTAATACGAAAAATTGACCTGGTTGTGGGCTCGGGTTAACTGGGGGGGATTGTTGGTAGAAAACTAGACCATAGGGGGGAAAATCAACAGCCAATAATACTTTTAAATTGGGCAATTTCCGGCGGCTTTGTGGGCTCGGGTTAACTAGGGGGGATTGATTAATCCTGACTTTGCATTAATGTTGATGTATTGCAAATAGATGCATTCAAACCCAGCCCACAATGCCAGCCGGATTCGGGATTTCTAGTTTTGATTAGTTTGGCACATCCCAGCATCGCAAAAAGTGCAAGAAGGACGGCAAGAGCTGCACTGCTTCACTGGTAAGGCCAGCATCTGCAGCCTGGTTAGAGCCCCGCACATCTTCAGGTAGCAAGAGCTTCTCCTGCATCTGCTCCAACTCGTGCCTGAAGACCTCCGGTGAGTCCCATGGATGGTGCAGAATGTATCGTCCAAATGGGTTTTACTCGATGTTAAGCTTCCAGAGCACGTACGTCCGTGCTACACGGGTTCCTGCACTAGCCCCACACAAGCGTAAGCTTCCACGGACTTCCCCGGCGGGCTTTAAAAGTCAGTGGTCAAATGAATATACATATATATATATATAGAGTTGGAATCCGGAAGGATGCCAGCAGTTGTTCATCTTAATGTTTGATGAGGGGGCCCGCGAAGAACCATGCATGTAAATGCACATAGTCCACAAAGAGGTCGCTTTCTCTGTGTAGCGTTTCTACTCTCACTCTCTCTCCCTCTCTGCTCTCTTGGCGTGACCGTCAACATCGGCCATCCCAAAGCAACGCCCACAACTTCGCACTAGGTTGTGCACCGAATGCAGGAATGGACATGATCTCTACTATCAGGCTGTCTGCTCATGCTGCAATGGTTTCCGTCTCACCACTTTCGTTCTCAGTTGCATGTTTTATGCTGATGCCTCTTGTCTTGTTTGCTGTTGGTCTCTGCTGCTGGTGCCGCTGGTGCTTGTGCTTCTTTTCTTTGCGTGCCCTTCCGCATCGCTATCCTACAAGTAAGACTCTGACCTCAGTTTGGTTGTTCACGTTTGGGCACACTAGACTTCCATTGATGATCAAAGGCTTATGCACTCACATAGCAAAGCGCGATCGCTGAGAACAGCGCGACTGCAAATCTGAACATTGATGATTCATGGCTGCTTGACTTCATACTTCATCTCGTGCCTCACCCGGCATTCCCGGATCAGTGAAGGCCCAAAGATCTGAGCGCCGCTGTGCTTTGACCTTCTCATTGGCTGCCCTGAGAGCCGTTTTCTCGGAAAAGTCTTTCTTGTCGGGAAATGGATTTCGAAGGACCACGAACTCCGTGTAGGTTTGGAGGCCCGGCTTTGGCTGCTCTGTGCACAGCTCAAAGTGTTGGCAGGTCCAAGAAACTGCCAAACCGTCCGTGTACTGGATGCTGCCCCAGGCGGAGTTGGACAAGACCATGGCAATCAAACCCTTTGAATCAGCTCCAGTGGCCGAATCCAGCATAACAATGGTGTTGTTAACATCAAAATTCAGCACAAGATGAGGCCTCTCATTGCTGGGATGAGCGTGACCCTTCCGGGATGCATGAAGCACTTCCACAAAGGTGTGATACTCAATGCCTCCTGAGCTATCAGGATCCAAGTCCCGGATAATCTGACCAGCTTCAGCATGCGTCACCTGTGCCGGGTCTTGACCACGAACATTGACAAAGTTCATCCAAGTATCGGATCTAATTCCACGTCCCCCAAGAAGCGTCACAATGGAGCAGCAGAACTATGTGCCAAGTCACTGCGAGGGAGGAGTGATTGTTCTTGCACTCGAAGTCGCTTAGTAGCATCAACGCGTCCATCATCTCTTGCGCATCGATGGTCCCATCCCCGTTTCGATCAAGAAATGTAAAGAGTGATCGTGCTGCATCCTCGCTCTCGTCATGCTGGACATTCCACCGCCAAAGCCATTTCTGGAACTCATCCCAGCAAATCCTCTCATCTTTGTTGTGGTCAATCTCATCGAAAATGTGGGCCTCATTGTGCTCCGCATGGTGCCGAGAGTGAGTAGGCCCAACACACAGCTTACACTCAACTCTTTGCAATCGGCAGAGTTATATATATATATTAGGACACAGACTTCAGAGATCTTCTGAGTTAGGAATGATATATATATATATACATATGCATAAATATATACACATTTACTGAATATGCAGAGACAAGCAGCGACAGCGTCTGCAGTTTCTGCCGTCTCTCCAGGCAGGCTCATTTCAAAGCTTTCTAAGACCTTGCCACATGAAACAGCGTGTGCTGTATAAAAACACCAATCAGGAGCAAATTGATCTCACCAAATCATATGTCTTTCTCTCTCTCTCTCTCTCTCGAGCCCACCTCGTGCAGCTGTTTCTTTGTGACGCCTTCATCATCCCTGTGGACAAGTTTTTGAAAGATGCGACGAAAATAGCTGATGAGGAAAGGCTCCTCCACCTGACCCAGGCTGCAATGCACAGGACTCGGCGCGACGTGACTTCATGCTGGTGAAACATCTGCAGCATGCACTACACCAGGCCTCTTTTGACCTAGGCTGCATTTTTAGCATCACAATCATGACAAAGACTGATTGAGCGTTGCCAATTGTTCATTCTATATAGATTCTAGAAGGCCGAGTCACATTTTCCGTCGCCTCCTGACAACCTGCTCCTGGCACGTCAACCGACTTGCGCTCCCGCCGGCAACTCCTTTCAATGCTCCCTTAGAAGGTTCACCTCATGCGTGTGAAACTCCCAGTCCTTCGGCGGAGGAAAAACGAACTTCACGAAGTCCTCATACGAAACTTGTGAGCTTCCACTGTTCACCACCAAAAGCAGTGCGTCGGCATCTGCCTCTGCAAGCATGCTGGGTGTATTCCAGGTGCACTTGGTGGCTTGGCACTAATTAGGCTCTTGCCAACCTTCAAAGGGCAATGTTCGACCACAGCCCCGCCTTGGAGATACCGATCTGAGTTAAAACCTCGCCGAGCAGCTCTTTGCCTGAGCATCGGAAGCTCGGAGGGTGCCATGCGTCCGGTTGGCTCGGAGGGTACCACGCCCTCCAAGACTTAAGACTCTTGACTCTTGACCAATTGGGTTAGTTTTGCACCTGCAAGTTGCCAGGTCCTAAAGGCACTTGACAGCATTTGTTGTGGGCACCCTTCTGAAGCAATCAGGGCACATACGTGAGTCTCAGGGATGCAGTTGCTGAAGATCTGATGCACCACTGCTTGTGGAGTCGGCTCAGCCGGCTCCAGCTCCAGTTCTTTGGATTCGGGCCGCATGGCAGCCGACTAGACTGAAGTCGCCAAAGTGACTAAAGTCAAGAATGTTTCATTCTTGCCGTACTCTTCCTGCCTGTGAATCATAAAGATTGTGCTGCACCAAGTCTGGGCGGATGACTGTTCTTTGGCTTGAGGTGCTTCCGTCTGAGTCTCTCAGGGTCTGAGCAAAAAGGCAAAGCCAACTTGCCTTGTGCAACAGGATGCTGGCCCAAGCTAACCACACTGGTTTAGCATGTTTAATCATACCCTGCCTTCGTTCTGCTGTAAACAACGCTGTACAACTTAACTTAAAACCCACAAGACACATTTAAAAAAAATAGCAAACTAGACCTTGATTGGACGCGTTTTCCTCAAGAACTAGTGGTTCTAAACTCTAAACACTACAAATGGAATATTGAATATTGATCTTCCCAGATCACAAGGGTCCAAAACATTCCACCAAAACACCCTCGCACACTATCCACTAGTGGGCCTCGGGGCAAGGGATATATTGGAGGAACAAAGCGCTTTAAAAGACCTTCAAGAGAACTCATTCCCATTTGCATGCGTGTGTGCTTTCTTTTGCTTCCCCGTGCTACCCAGGGCCACAATGTTGAAGGCCACAACCATGCTCACCCAGGCTTCTGCCTGGCAGAATGCCTCGAACTCGGCCTTTTCCCGAGCAATGTCCTCGCACAGCAACAACCAAATCAAACAATAATGCTTGTGTAATAGCCGTCTTAGCCGGAAATATTCTTTAGTAGTGGGACCCATGTTGTGGGTCAGTGAAAACACGGCCTCAAGCATAAGCAATTATCTTGCCATGACTCAACACGCGAACGGAAGATTTGTCGGTAGACTGGCATGAGGATGCTGAGTTCATGGCCGCTGCAGTTTTCACAGGGACAGGCCTCATAGAAGTCAAAAAGCAAACAGATTGAGGATGATTCAAGCCTTTCAAGCCTTTCACTGATAAGAGCCTTGCGGCCGTGCTGGGGTGGTGCTGGCCTAGCGGTGTTTGAACCAAATCTATGGCCACCCCCTCACCTGTTTAGAAGTTACCCCAACAAGCCCCAACTCGCCTCACTCCATGGTGACCAGGATGCATATATAGTGTGTACATGTTTGTTGTTATAGTTATCAAATGTTATTACTACTATTGTTGTTACTATTGCTATTATCCCTGTATTATCTTATGTTTATTGTTGTTATTTTTACTACTATAGTATATATATAATCCTCCCGCAATTCTTGCACGAACAACCTGGCCTTCGGAGCCCGGGCATCCTTGCTTCGCCTGCCAATTTCTGGTCTGATTGCACGCAAGGACAACTCCTGACGATTGTCTTGGGCGGAGGCGATCGTTCACGATGCTCGCCTCAAATCCAGTGCTTCATAGCGTTTCTAAGAATTCTGTGGCCAGATCATGTCCACAGTACACCCCAACATTGCTTACTGAGCTTGAGAGAGCATATACTACAGTCCAAGGCACGATCCCGATCCCGTTGCCTTTCACGCTCCCGATCACGCTCGCGTTGTCTATCCTTCCTTGGTGGAGTGTGTCTATGCAAAACTAACATATGGAACCTTGCTGTCCAGCAAGTCAACTTCCATTCACAAATCCCATAGTCATATATGTCACTATATGTCACCAATGATGCTACTTTTGCTGCTCAAAGCTCTCTCGCTTCTTCCGCCGGTCTCTCGACCTGCATTGATTGACGCACTTGCTGTCGCTTCTCTTGACCGAAGAGTCCGAACTGTTCGACCGACCTGCCTGCTCTCACTCTCAGAGGAGTGATCGCGGCCTGGAGTCAGGTGCAGCACACACCGGGTCAGCTCAAACTCTAATTAACATACACACATACTACATATGTATATATATACATATATACATATAAACTGCATCTGCCAAACCACCAATGAGCTTCACACGCTTTCTGCTTCTTTCTTTAGCTTTCCTGACGCATACACCCCCGTGAACCCTGGTCAAACCCATTGTTTGCTAATCCATGGCATTACAACATCTGGGTTGTAAGAACCAACGGCGCACCTGCTGCTCTCTCTTTTCCTGGACTCCTCGTCCTGGTATAAATGCCCAAGTTGTTGGTCAGCCACTCACTATGATTATTGAAGCGCTTAAAAGGGATCAAAAAGGTGTTTCTTTGTGTTTGATCGCTGCCCTCTCTGGGAAATGACCCTTCGCAGTCGCAGGTTGTCCATGGCGGACAAGCTCCCACAAGTGTTGCACTTGTTGAGTGTATGCTGGAATCCTTGCGAAGCTGCGAAACTAAATAGATTCTGGTGGCATACTGATGGGGGCCATCACTGCCTTGCAGTGGCAGTGGCGGCAATCTGTGTGAATCTGTACTCAACCAGGTGGAAATTGCCCCAGCACAGTCCGTTGAACCAAGGGTTCCACGTGCCCAAGCGGATCCACAACCAGCCTCTTCTTGAGGCTTCTTGTCTCTTTTCTTTTCTCTTGGCTCCTTGGCCTTTGCAGGGCTATCAGTCCCCACAGTTCAGGCCACATTCACAGCCTACCATGACGATTCAACAAAATGCCTGCCCAACCCTCCACCTCACCTCATCTTTATCCTTGGCCTTTTCTTTTGGCTTTGTCTCTTTAGCCTCTTTACTCTCTTTAACCTCTTTAGTGTCTTTGTCCTTTTCTCTAGGCTTGTCTTTTGCAACTTCTTTCTCTTTTTCTTTGGCCCTTTCTTTACTCTTTGTCTCCTTGTTGCCCTCCTTGCCATTCACAGCATCCTTCTTTCTCTCCTTGTCTTTTCGGTCCTTCTCCTCTCGATCCTTCTCCTTCTCTTTCTCCTTCAGCCCGCGGCCAAAAATATGTTTCCAGTGCTCTACAGCCTAGCTTAACACATTTAACACAGGAGAGGGAACAAGCCGAAGCAAGTTTGGACCAATCTTGCCCACCACCTTCGTCTTTCCTGCTACCTTTGCATCTTTCTCCTCACGCGCAACACAAATGGAAAGCACCAGCACACTGCTAATTGAGCCATCCCGATTTTTAGTTTCAGGGTACCGAGCTGAGAGATCTGCGATGCCTGTCACACCCACCTGCTTGTTTACGGACCACCTTTCTTTTTGCCCAAGCATGCCTACTCTTGCTCCTGTCAAAAAGTTCATTGCCTCAAATCTATCGCATTCCTTGACAATTGTAGGACCCTAGTCTTGAAATGTCTTCAATCCGATGTAACTAATCAAGGCATCAAAGGACGAAAGGACAAAAGGAAAGCTCTCACTTCTCGATGCTGGTCAGATGTGGTCGGCCATTGTTCTCCTACGCCCTCGCACACTCTTCACAGAAGTCGATGCAGCAAATGTCACAGCGGTGTAGCCACGTCCCTTGTTCGAAGTGTCGCTCACAGCCATCACAGTTCCAGCCTCTTTCGTAGTTTAACCCGAAGTTGTCTGGGGTAGCTTCTGCAAGACGCAGCTGCCCAAGGTGAGGGCACTCAAGCGCCTTGTACACGTTACTGTTGCGGCCAAAATAGGTGAAAACACTCCTTTCAGAGCAGCCCGCCAGTCTTTCATTTCTTGGAGGCACCTCTGCCTGTCTGCACACATCTGATGGATGAATGACACTGTGCACCCATCGTAGATATCCAAATCGCCCAGGGTCTTAAAATCCAAGTCTGGTAAAAGGAGCTCTCCACCAAAGACCAGCCCGACCTCCAGGAAATTCACGCTGAACACTTCTGCAACAGACCTGCGCAAGTGGAGCAGCAGTGATGTCTCCCTGAATCCTGGGATAGGTCGGCATTCTCCAGCAAGGTTCGCCACATTGATAGTTGAAGGGCCATGCAGGTTGCCAATCCAGGTCTCTGCGAAGTGTTTCCGCTGCTCCCAAGCTTCATGCTGCAAAAAGCTCTCATTGGGCTTGGCAAATTGCCAAAGCACTTGCGCTAAGAGAGCCCAGGGGAACGGTAGCAACACAAGGGAACCAAATAACATGATGTAGAAACTGTACTCTCCCGCGCCTGGATCTATCGAGTGGAGAAGGTGTAGCTCGAGCAAGGCGGACAGCCTCTCTTTGAGAGCCCCGCAGCCCTTACAACCGTCCTCTCCCACTTGTTGACCTGTTGGGCAGCAGCACTTTCCTGCAGTGCTTTCTGTTCTGCAATCAGGTACAGCTTGTTGTCCATCGCAGGCCTTCAGCCTCTCCGGCAGCTGTTGCGCTATGGCGTTGTCCATGGCTCGTGCGTAGTCTTTCCGCTCCTCGCCCCACCAGTGCAAGTGTGTGGTGCCTGTGGCTGTCTGCGGAACCGAATTGCTTCCCACCGCCCAGGCCACGGGAAAAGCATCAGTGCTCGTGTCCCTCCCGAAGTCCACTTGCGACTGCGGTATGTCGGGGATCAATGGCACGGCGTAGACACAAGTTATGGAGCAGTGCTTCCCTCCTCTCCAGCTCCCGCCCCTGATAGTCGCCGCCCAACTTCAGAGTTATCGGCGTCCAGGTCATCCATTCGGAGCAGTGGAACCTTTGAGGACACATTGCTCAAACCGGCCTCTCGCCGACAGTCTTTCTGGGCACATTGACTAGCGCTGCAGTCGAAGCAGCCTGGCTGCCACCTATGCGGCTGAGATCCAGCCGAGCCCCCTCCAGGATCACCAAACCAGCGCCGGCTGCATTTCCGTCATCAAACCGGGCCAGGCTCAAATGCCTTTCCGGACGTTGTCGCAGGAACACATACAGAGAACCATTGGAGCCCAAAGCAAACCAGGGTGAAGAGGCAAATGCCTCCACAACCTCCATCGTGTTCGATCCAGCTGGTGCAGTGGATGGTCCACTCGTGGGAAGAAGGCAGGGCTGAGACCACAAACAAGCCCAAGAGCAACCAAGGCTACCGCCAGGAAGAAGGAGAAAGATCCCAGGCGCTCATCAATGGACATGCGGTTCATACAGAAGACCAGCATGGGCAAAGTTGCTGCAGTCATCAGGGTTGGACTGCCATCGAACTTCAGTGGACCCCTCATCAGCACAAATCGCATCAACAGGGCAGTTGGAGGGAGTATATAGACATTCACAGCTTGAGCCTTGCAGCAGAACAACATCGCTATATCTATCCATCTATCCACCTATCCAGCTATCCATCTGTCCATCCATCCATCCATGTCTGTGTGTGTGCAATAGCTGCAACTACTAGGCAGGGACCTCAGGATATTTCAGGATAGAACTGTCTCCCATGTCAATTCTTTGGTCCAGCACGAAAGGTAAAAGTACCACCAATAGCGCCATAACTTGTAACCGCAAGGGTCTACAAATGTCTACAGTGATAGGGGCCCACAGTTCTACAATGAAAGTTGGACCACCTGATCACCTTAGACCTTGCGCTGTCGAATCCTGGAGGGGTGCCCATTGCCCATTCCAGCCCAAGTACTTATTAAGGGTCTCAATTGTTTCATATCTTTGTGTGTGTGCCCGTGCACGTGCATATTTAACATCCACAGGCGTGTGGTCTATACATATATAGTATCATATTCTAGACCTGTTATGGACGTAAAAGCGACTGAACACTAATGTCATTTGAACTTTTCCGGGTCAGGCATACTTAGCAACCTTTTGTTGCCGAGTCTGCTCGCCAAGTGGAGGTTGCCTGACAAAGCAATAGTCTTGACAACTGGCATGGTCTGGAAACATACTTGCTCAGCACATGCCTTACCAAGAAAGAGAATACATAGTCCACAAAGTACCGCAGGAAGTCCTGTCCGAAGTGATGAAAAGGAAGGTCATGCAGCGTGTCAGAATCGAGCCTGCGGCAACTTTGCCATGGGGCACGTGCCAACCTGTGCTGCATGATATGGTGCAGCAAACCCTTCCTCTATGGCATGTTAGACCCGATCTTAAGGGGTCCTATGCGCAGAATGTTGCACATGTCTTTGACTGACTCTGAGGTTGCGCAAGACATCCTAAATATGATCCAAGAACTGGTCCAAGATATGTATGTCAAGTCCAAGGATAATATGGCACGGATCACGCACACAAAAAGCATGAGCGGTTAGGCAGCCAACGTTCTCCTTGCACACTCCAATGCCTCGGCAAAGTTCGCCACAAACAAAAGTAAAAGTGGAAGCAGCAACGAGTCAACTAACTCGGTAGATTTATATGTATTATTATATACATGAATATAGCTGAAACTTGATTCAGGAAGCAATGGGATATACTGCTGTGAATGTGAGAGCGTAGGAATGCGCAGGAGTAATGCTTGCGAATATGCTATGTGCCCATGGGCTGCCATGTGGATTGAATGAGGCGTAAGACAAGGACTGAATTTCATTAAACCAACATGGGAAATGATGCGACTGTGGCTGTTGACCGGTCACAGAACTCGCCAATTCCCTCGGCATTCAATTATCTAGCAAAGCATGGGTACAAGACATAGGTGTTGAGACATGCTGAGGCGCTGACAGAGCAATCGCCTGTATGCCCAATCACCTTTCGGTCGTACACGTAGTTGGGCACGAACACCAGCGCGAAGAAGCTCTGTGGAAGGCCCAAACGGACGATGCTTGAAGACTAGCCTGAACAATGCCATCAATGTGCGTCGGGATGGTGTGTGCTTCCCTGCAGTATCAGTAGCAGTGAGCTTTTGCACTCCAACCTCCGCACCTCGGTTCGCTCCCCTTTTCGCTCTGACCAGGCACCTCTTCGCAAAACAAGAGAGGATCACAATCAGGGGCAGGTGGATTCTTGAAAGGGTGGGGAAATGACAATAATTGCCAAAAGACACACAGGCCGTTTGCAGCTATAGCATGCACGTTTCTTTTGTCACCTTCGCAAAAATGAAATGAGGATGTGTCAAAATTGGATAGTCGCCAAGTGATATGGTAGTCGTTGGTGAGGTCTTCCACCCATCAATTTAAGCCCAAACAAATGGTATTCTGACCATCCTTCCGCATGAGTCTATTATAGATAGCGACAGACTGGCAACGTGGCACTATATAACTTCAACTGGTGCTCACGTAAATTTACAGCAAACTGCGCTTTCCCAACATCTCCTTGAGAAGTGGAAGCAAAATGCAGCAAAAATGATTGTCATCGCATCGTCACACACGCAATTCCTGCACGTTGAACTGCGAGTGCTTCCATCCTTAAAATATGCAGCGGCAGTGGCACGAATCTCAGCGGCTCAGGTCTTCCTTTTGACAAAGCGTCGCAGCCTGACATTGTCAAAATACTACCTTGACCCGACCCACGGCTTGCTTGACAAGTTGGCCTGTACTTGCAAGCAGCTGATATCGGAACCACACCCACACCAGTCACACCAAGTTGGTTTTCTCGACAAAGCTACACCAGCCTGTTGGAGAGCATGCCAAAAGGAGTGCAACTGGCAGAAGTCATTTTAATCAATGCAAAAAAATCAAATAGTTGTTCCTTCTTGTTTCTTGTTTCTAACAGCAAACATTGTTACTACTAGTAAGGCACCTGTTACTACTAGCGTGGCACTTGTTACTAGTAGGGGAGGACAATGCAAAAGTGTCAAAGCAGTCCTAGTTGACTCGCGCACCTGACAGGACCAGCTGCATCGGCATCGACATCCTGGGCTCGGCCTCATTTCAGCGTTCAGTCCGAATGATCTTTTGGTTTTTCGGTGAAACCAGGCGCGTATGGTTGGATCATGAGTGGCAGCCCGTGGTCCTGCCCAGTGGCGCATGAATCCATCGTACTCGTGGGGAAGGACATACTCAGCAATGACTGAGAATCCATCCTGACAGGGCATAGGAACAAGAAGCCACTAGTAACAAGGGGCATCGCTACTAGGAGCAAGGACGCTACTAGTAGCTCCTGGCCTTACAACAAGGAACAAACAGCTACTAGTAACAAGGGCATATCTGGAGGTCCCATCGTCGCAATATCAGAGCAATCGGTCCAATGTCCTGTAGGTCTACCACTGCTCTCCGGCCTGCAAGACAACATGACAAGTAAATAGAAAACAAACAGAACGAACTTGAACCCAATACAAATGCATACAATTGCACCAAAACAAGCTGGAAAGCAAACTTCCAGCGCCTTTTGCCAATCGAGCTTGTTCCTCTGACACTGGCATTGGATCGCCGAATCGGACGCCTCAACCAGCGTGTCAATGAAGTCTGAACATCTTCAGTCTCACCGAAACTGCCGAAACTTATTAAATGTTCAAACATCCGCCAATCTTCATCCTAAAATGATCTGCAGCACAGGCACTTCCATGTGTCGTCGTTGCCCGCCACATTCCGCCCCCTCCACATCCTGCGGCTGAAGGGTTTTCTGTTTGAGGCTGGTCGTGAGCGCTGTACTGAAGCCGTATATAAGCGTAGCCGTAGCCCTTCCGAATCCCAGAACTTGAGACCGTAGCCCTTCCGTCGCAAGCACTCCCTACTAACATCAAAAACCCCTCCAACAGCAAAGAGTGACAGGAAATCTGTCAGACAGATGTTCGCGAATCTAAAACTCTGACATGTTGGGACTGGGGAGCAGCACGAGCGGAGCACTTCCCAGCCCAAACGCCTGGAGGAGGGATTACCTCTTGAGAAGCAAATGGACCAGCGGCCACAGGCTGTGTTCGTTCAATGTAGAGCCCAGCAGCCTTGAGCATGGCGTTTGGGTCCTGCCAAAACTTTCCAACACGGAGGCGTCCACACAGCATGGCAGGGTGCACGAGTTTGGCGAGTGGGACAACACCCTGGCCAGCCCTGGCCGCCCTGACCTCCTCTTCAGGCTCTTCTGGCTCTTTCAACTGCCACCACTCGTCCTGCACGTTGTGCCACAAGCATCAAAAAAAGGCTTCCTCTAGTGGAAAAAAATACCAGATAGAATAGAAATACAGACAGAAACTGATAGAGTGCAAACCCTGGGAACCTGGGAATTTGCCGATCAACCTCGCATTCAACAAAAATCATTCACGCAAATTTGCCCCGTCCGCAGCTTGGTCAACCCCTCCCACTGACTTATGCACTTCCGGTCCTTATTCAACCTTTCAATGTCGGATCTGTAGAGCTCCATCGCAGTATGATTGACCCAACCTTCATTCAAGGATTTTTGATCCAAGGTCGGCTTCGGTGCAGGGAAATCTACGGCCATAAGCAATTCCTGTCCAAGTGCGACATCCTGTGGACCACCAATCCCGGATAGATACATTTGTCCAAGCTCCACAGTGGCCAGTGTGTAGCCCCGGCTGTGGGCAGCCTCCATGTGCATCCTTGCCTTCACTCCATCTTTAGGGAAGACGCTGCCATTCAGGTATGCCTTCCCTAGCTCGAAAGCTGCCAGCGCGTCGCCAGATGCATCGGCTTTCTGAAAAAGTTCCATGGCCTTGGACATGTCTTTCTCTCCTCCCAACCCTGAGCGACACATCAAAGCCAACTCCAAGGTTGCCATAGTGTTTCCAGCTGCATCGGCTTCTGTAAAGAGTTGACGGGCCCTATAAGTGTCTTGGCCACAAACTTTTGTCCCTTTCTTGTGGCACCTTGCCAAGTGAAGCGTACCAAGAGCATCTCCTGCAGCGTGTGCTCGGTTGAAATGCTCGAAGGCCTGGCCATCATCACGTTCCACTCCAATTCCGGCTTGATATAGGACACCTGCCAGTACCATACTTTTGCTATGGTTCCTCAGATGTGCTATGCTCGGCGGGAGTGAGGACAAAAAGTAATGTAGTGGCAGATTCCATCTACTAGCGATGGCGTCCAACCTACTAGCAAATAAAAATTAGGAATATTTAGGAATGCTCAGCGAAGTGTCGCGTCCAAGGCCAGAGCATCATGCAAATACCCCCAGCACCTCTGAGACACCACAAAGCGTGCAGGAGTCTCGGGCGCAGTAGAGCGCACTGCACGGAGGTATTCAACAGCAGCGGCGCGACAAAGGCCAGTGGCTGACCATCGTCCATCTTCAGAGCATGCCGGGCAGCTGGATGAAGCACTGACCTCCTTCGGAAGAGCTGGGCGCAAAGAACTGACGCTGTGCAGTCCCCCTCTGTCTGACTAACGACTGTTGTTTGTCATGTTCTGGAAACTGTACACTGTACGAACAGTTCAATCTTATATACAACAAGCAAGCTGTTCTTCTCACAGTCTGCCGTCCTGCACTTCCAGTAGGCATGCTTCATGGAAATGATGACCACAACTCAACTGCAGCTCCCGGGCTTGGTCGCCTTCTTCGAAGGATGTGCGCAGGCAAATCCAGCATTCAGCCATGACAATCTAGAATGCAAGAACCTAGAACCGTAGGCATGAATGGAGCACTTCTGGCCAGTCAACCTACTGTGTGACTCGTGCTGCTTGCACATACTGGACTGCAAGCAATGATAACGAAGCAGTTCAGGTTTCCTAACTGCATGTTTGCTTCCATGTGCTTGGGACAGTGCATAATGGCCAAATGATTCAAACAGTTTGTATTTTTCTGCGACGTCCAGAGCTGGGCGGCCACAGCAGTCCAGAGCTGGGAGACAAATGTAGACGCAGGGAGACAAATGTAAAGGATTGCAAGCGACATGCAGCCCAGAGCTGGGCGACAAATAAAGGATTGCAAGGCAGAGGCGGATACAGCAGTGTAGAGCTGGGAGACAAATGCCGGGATTGCGAGGACACATGTAAATAAATGTAGAGAAATATAAATTTAAGGATTGCAAGGCAGAGGCGGAACGTGACGGCATGACAGGCTTCTTTGCCACAGCCCTGCTGATGCTCTTCCACAGCCTGCAGCGCTGGGAGACAAATGTAAAGGATTGCAAGGCAGAGGCGGACACAGCAGCCCAGAGCTGGGAGACAAACGTCAAGGATTGCAAGGCAAAGGCGGACACCGCAGTCCAGAGCTGGGAGACACATGTAAGAGATTGCAAGGCAAAGGCGGACACAGCAGCCCAGAGCTGGGAGACAAATGTCAAGGATTGCAAGGCCGAGGCGGACACAGCAGCTCAGAGCTGGGAGACACGTCAAGGATTGCAAGGAAACAAAAAGATACAAAAGTGACAAAAGGAAACAGAAGGGAGACAAAAAGAAGCAGAAGGGAGACAAGACTGGAGACAAAGGGGAGACCAGGAAAACACAATTACCAAGAAGAGGGGTGACAACAAAGGAAACAAAAGGAAACAGAGGGGAGACAAGACGGAGACAGTGACGAACAAGAAGGGAGACAAAAGGAAACAGAAAAGAGAAAAGGCAAACAAGAAGGGAGACAAAGGGAGACAGAAAGGAGACAAGGCGGACACAATGACCAACAAGAAGAGAGACAAGACGGGAGACAAAAGGAAACAGAAGGGCGACAAGGTGGACACAGTGACCAACAAGAAGGGAGACAAGACCGGAGACAAAGGGAGACAGAAGGGAGACAAGGCGGACACAATGACCAACAAGAAGGAAAACAAGAAGGGATACAAAAGGAAACAGAAGGAAACCAAGGCGGACTCAGTGACCAACAGGAAGGGAGACAAGAAGGGAGACAAAATTAAAAGGAGACAGAAGGGAGACAAGGGAAAACACAATGAAGGGAGACAGAGGGTGACAAGCCGGAGGGAAGGCGGACACGCTGTCCTGCAGCAAGGCGGACATCCAGAACCCCTAAAGAAATCACCTGGGAGACAAATGAATAGAAATGCTGCATGGCCAGCGGAAAAGGGCGGACACCAGCAGTGACAGAATGGGCGGACACATCTTAAGAAAGAATTGAG